CCTGGCCAGGTAGCTCAGTTGGTTAGAGCGTCATCCCGATATGTCAAGGTTGCTGGTTCGATTCCTGGTCCGGGCACATACAAGAATCAACCAATGAATGCATAAATAAGTGGAGCAATAAATAAATGTTTCTCTCTCTATCTCTCTCAAATCAAATTAAAAATTAAAAAACAAACAAAAAAAAAAAAACCTTATACATAATATGGACATGTGCATCATTTGCATGGGCCTTAGAAGTAAACACTGGCAGCCAAGAACTCAGGTCAAATTCAGCCATCCCAAGGATTTTTGTCTGGCCCAATAATCAATATTAAAAAACAGGAGGCGTCATAGAAAAATCCAGATGTCTATCTTCTCAGAAAAATCTTAAAAGTCTACTAAAGCAAACCTGTATTTTTTTACTGCAGTAATGGGATGGAGTAGAGCACTAGCTGTAGGGCAGAACCTAACTCGCCATAGTCCCTTCCTCCTGGCCCTGGCAGACATTTGAGTTTGGGGGCCAGGATCTGATAAGAGGAACAGAACCAAAACCACCAACACTGTGAAGAACGGCGCTGAGCGTGGCTGCATGAGAAACATACCACTGACAAAACTGAAAAACTGGGGAGCCTTGCCCCTCTGGTCCTAATAAACTCCAGCTTTCAGAAGACCTCCATTTTTAGATTTAGACTACTTGACTGGTTCTCTAATTTGCATAATAGAGTTAAACATTTGTGTGCTAGAGTTTTCTATTTATATATGTGTTATATTTTTATGGGGCAGAAAAGTTTATTTCATCTGGCAAACCATGCTAACTATGATGCAGAGTTAATTGGTAAGATATTTAAGATGATTATTCTTTTAAGGGTTAAGAGAACCTTCTAAAGTCTTTTAATCCACTTCCTTCAGTCTCTGCCAACTCACCCAGGCATTTAAAATCTATATATTTTAAGATAGAATACGGAATTTTCTATAACTTCCATATGTAATCTATGCCATTGTTTACAAGCCTACAGTCATGAGATTCTAAATGAAAGTTTGTGCTTAAATATGCATGCTTCAGCTTTAGAAGATCTCTAATTCATATACTTTCAAACCACTATATGTTTAAACACAACTAGACAGTGATGTCAGAGGAATGGTGGTGTGTGAGATCCCCTTGGTCTCTCCCCTTGAAGTTTCAACAATTTGAACAGCTGTAATTCAACAAAGGATTCCCTGCTTAACGCATGAGAGATTCATGCATTGAAAATCTAAAGGTAGGCAAGCGAGAGTGAACCGGGGAGGCAAAGGACAAACACTGCACCATGAACACAGCCCTACAGCAAGGAGCTCACAGCAGGGCTTAGCCCAGAAAGGGAAGGAATCAGACTGGCAATACCTTCAGTCAGGAAGAGCAAACAGATTGGGGGACATTCCTGCAGGACTGGGCAGTACAAGCTGCAACTGAGCCCAGTTACCCGGGAAGGGAAACAGCTCAGAGATCGTTGCAGCCGCAGGTGAGAAACAAAGCCACAGAGCCTGGCTGCCCCTTAACCTCTAGAGCTCGCCTCCTTCGCCCTTGGTTGCAGAGCACAATATCTGCAAACCCAAAAACTGGTACTACAGAACCACTCTTTCCCTGAGCAAAAGGCCCACTCTGTGAAAGGTTACAGGATC